TATAATATATGTATATAAATTGTAATATATATATATATATATAAATAACTTAATATTAAAAAAAAAGTTTAAAAAATTCGGGCAATTCGGGCGGGCTTGGGCTGCCCGGCCGGGCTCGGGCCGCCGAATACAAGCCCACGGCCCGTTCAAGGTGAAATTCATGCTCGGGCGGGCGGCCCGAAAATCTCGGGCGGGTCAGGTTTGGGCTCGGGCAAATCCTCGGGCTTTTTGAGCAGTCGCGGGCAACCCGTCCAAAGTTCCAGCACTATTCGTAGCTAGCTAGTGCTGAAATTTTGGACGGCTGCTCGCGACCACCAAAATTTTAAATTTTTACTTAATGACCGAGCCCGCCTGAGCCTGAATTTTCGGGCTGCCTGACCCGAGAAAAACCATGGACGGGCTTCAGGTAGGTTTTGGATGCCCGAGCTCGGTCGGGCAGCCTGAGACCGCCTGAGTACCCCAAATTTTTTTTAATGTTTTTTTTATATATTTATATACTATTATATAGATTATATATAATTATGTTTATTAATTGTATATGGTATGTATATAAATGCTTTTTAAGTTATTTATTGTAAAAATTATACAAAAATTATAAGGGAGATTGCAATTTAAAATTTAAAATGAACACGAACTATATAAAAAAATTATTTATTTATTAATTTTTAAATTTGTAATTCATGATTGCCTCGTTAAAAACCTTACCAAGAAAAACTCAATTGAGATAGAAACTTGGTAAGGAAAAAAAGAGTGCAATCATTCTGGGACGAATTACAAATTTGATGACTTACAAAGTCTATACATGATTACAATAATACTGTACAAAGTAAATAAATATTTACAAATTACAATAATAGAATTTAATTTGAAGCTGAAGGATCGTCTTCAAAATTAAAAGTTAATCCATTAAATTCATCAATCCATTATTGGCTTGCCGGTGAAATTGTATCGTGTAAGCGTTGGTCGGAACGATCCCAATCCTTGATGCACACCAAAGCTTCAACAATGTCCTATTACAATGTGTTTTTACATTCTTCAAGTATTCGGCAGGTCGTACTGAAGGCTTGTTCAGCTGAAATAGTGGAGACTGGGATCGAAAAATATCCATTGCCAGTCGAGTTAGGATCGGCCAAGTTAATGCTCATGTCCTCCACCACTGAACCAAATCAAACATTTCACTATTGTCGACTACTAAGCCCTCACTCAAGTACGCCATTAACTCGTTGAAGCCGCCGCTATTACTGCCACCTTTTGATGAAGATCCACTCCCAGATTCTTCTTGACCTTCAATCGTGGTCGTTGTCTTCTTCTTCTTCTCCCATATTCTTCTTGACCTTCAGTGTCATCATCGTCATCTTCTTCTTCTTCTTCAATCCGAAAACATTCAAGAATGAATGTGGATTGACGTCTCGTTGTTGCAGTTATTTTACACGAGTTGGGCTTCTAAACCTACTTTCATAAGAGCTATAGAGAGATAATATTTTTTCCTTTATAATAGGAAATTGGTCAGAACAGTCGATATCTAAAAAGTCACATAAGTTTTCTAATCCACTTTCTAAACCATACAATATTGGTAATTTAGCCTAATATTTTTTAAACTTCTTTTCCATAGAAGTGATAGGAACTCCTAAAACCTCGTGTGCCCTAAATTCACTAAATAAAATAGCCATTCTTAAAAGTTCTCCTAATGTTAATGGTGACGTTTGATAATATGTTCTACTAAGTTTTAAAGTAACTTCGTGAAATCTACCTAAAAAGTTATACAAGAGTTCGGCAATTTGTCAATCAGTTTCGTCTATAAATCCTAGTCCTAATTTTGCACTAACATAGTTTGTTATAGCATCTTTATAGGGGATGCATTGTTCAAGCATTATATAAGTAGAGTTCCATCTTACAGGCATATCTAAGGCTAATGCTCTAGGATTTTGATTACAAGCTTGTAGAAACCTAAATCAATATTGTATTATTTGATTACTACCTTGAATCCATGCAATGTTAACTCTAATTCTTTTAATATGACCTGACATTGATTTTAAACTGAATTTTACTATTAAATTAATTACATGACATGCACAACGTTGGTGAAATATATCATTATTACCGAATAAACTTAAAATCATTTTCAAAAAGTTCTATTGCTTTAGTATTTGCAGTAGCATTATCTAATGTTATAGCCATTACTCTATCCCTTAAACTATATTCATCGATGACAGATAAAATTGTATTATATATTAAATGAGCGGTATGTGATCCTAGAACACATTTAAAACCTAATATTCTCTTATCTAAATCAAAACCTTTAAAATAATGTTCGGTTACAACTAAATAATCTTTGTTGGCAACGGCGGACTAAATATCCACCGTTAACGCAACGCAACCACTATAGTAGAGTGTAAAATGTTGATTAATGCTTCTCTTTCTTGTTTATATAATTTTAATGCATCTTTCCTAAGAGTAATTCTTGAAAAAAATCGTGCATTAAGATTATGTACAATTTTAATATAACGTTGCCAATTTCTTTGTTCGGTAAAACTAAGTGGGTGATCTAATGTGGCTACTAATCGTGCCATTTCTATACGATCGACTTACGGATTGTATTTCTAAGTGGTTAGACCGCCGGTTTGGCAGTCAAATGATAATTGTGTTTGGTGGAGATTGAGTCCGCCTCCTTGCTTTGAAGACAATTTTCAGAGTGTCTTCTTAAGTGTGTTGTGCTGTGAATAGTGTTATCTTGTAATTTATCACCACAATATTGTAATACCTTGAAGAATTAATTGAGATTAATTAAGGTAATTGAGATTATTAGTGTGCCTAATCTGGATTATTAATTGAGTTTTAATTAATAAATGTTTCTGACGTGTGAGTTTAAATAGTTCCAAGGTATTTAAATTATTCTCAGTAATTTATTTTAAACCAGAAGTGTGTATGGGCGCATTTCTGGACTGTTCTTTTACAATATTGTACACATGTCATTTTCTTTTCCTTTTCCTTTTCTTTTCTTTTCCTTTTTCCTTTTCCCCTTCCTTTCTCTTTCCTTTCCCGTGCGTCACTCTCCCTCACTCTCCCTCTCACTCTCCCGTGCTCTCTCTCACTCTCTCCCTCTCTCATTTTGTCCCAAATCAAACGGATCTTGAACCAAGGAAAGATTTAAAGAAGTTTTCAACGTCAAGAGAAGGATTCGAGGTAAGATTACTGAAAGAACCTCTCTTGAATCTCAAGTTTTTGAATTTCAAAACCTATTTTTGGTTCAAACCATATTTTGATGGTTTTTGAGTAAAACTAGAGTAGAAATTGGAGATCTTGAGTTTTTTGGACTTGTCTTAGGACCTAGAACCCAGATCTAGTGGTTTTCCTTTGAAATATCTCGATTTGGGACTGGATTTGCAGATTTTGGACTGATTTTTGCAAGCTTCTCTCGCACAGGTGATTCCACCGGTTGACCTGTGCGGTCGACCGGATCACATGGAAACCGGCCAACCTATGCGGTCGACCGAACTGAAGGCTTACCGGTCGACCGGTCCGGTCGACCGGTGTGCACACTACCGGTTAACCGGTAGTGTTGCACTGCTCTGTCACCGGTCGACCGGTTGACACGGGATTTGACCATGTTTGGCCTGAAATTGCTGTTTTGACCCCTGTTTTTGGGGAGAACCCAAATTAGCTTCATTTGGGGACTTGAGATAACTGGATTAGCATCTTTAATCCTTGATTTGAGATTGAAAACCCTTAGAATGATAATTTGAAACATGAAAATGGATTAGGGCACACTAATAGGAAATCTTGGTTGGAAATTGAGATTTGGATTGCTTTAGGAATGAGAATTAATCCTAAAGTGTTGTCTTGCATCAGTGATCGCTGAGGATTCAGACTAAAGGGGCTTGAGGAAGCGGAAGCCGGAAAAGGCAACGCTAGTCCTAGGTTTGTTAGTGCGAGGTAGGATTTTTATCCCTTTTCCTTGTGAGCCTGTTTTCAAAAGGATTTCGGCCTTGAAAAGGTTTTAAAGAAAGGGATTGGTTTGCGAAAGAAAAACGTTTTGAAAACCATGGCTTGTTTAGTCATGGAACCTCATGGCTTGTCCAGTCATGGGGCCCACGGCTTGAGTAGTTCGTGGGGTCGTATTAACGATTTCAAAATGTTAATGAATGATTTCTTAAGCTAAGAGATCTTGTGAACTGGTAATAGAGTCTATTGCTGTAAGCCTAGATAGGATGCGGAGAGTGTATCCTCGGGGGGAGAACCCGAAACTCGGTCTGGGTAGGCGAGGCACTTGGTTAGGTAAGTAATTTGTACTAATTACTTGCTGAAGCCTGTAAAACGGTTATTTACAGTTATATTTCCTTTGAGAAAAAGGATGTGAGGTTCCGGCTGTTCCGTCGGGACTGAATGTCTTATTTTATTTACTTATTCATTTATATATTTCCCTCGCACATTTATTATTCATTTATTTATAACGTTTATTTCAAATTATATCCTATTGGGCCTTTTGCTGACGTTTTATGTTTTAAATGTATTAAACCCCTCCTAGGAGACTCTTGGAGCGGTGCACAGTAGCCGGATATTGCTACGGAGAAGCTAAGTTGTGCTGCTGTTAGAATCAAGTGAGGATTGTGGTCATCCTCTGATATAACTGTAAGGAATTTGAGAAATTCTGTAAACTTATATAATATTTGGATTTACTAGACTGTGGTTGATGTCTATTGTAATGATTATTTACATGAGCATGTATGTACGATACTGTATGTCCTGTGGGGTGAAGCCCTGTGTGTCAGAGGCTCTGGGATTCTGTAATGTAATTTATTCATATTTTAATGCAGTTAAGTGTGGGGCCCGGTTGGGAACCTACTTTATTAATCCCAAATCGAGCTCCACGTCACCTTCCCCGTTTGGGGGGCGTGACAAGAGTGGTATCAGAGCCATAGGTTAAGAAACCCCCGGATTGTACATACATGTGTGACATCTGTAATCCACTGAATAGTCTAGTTTTATTTCAGTTAAAAGAAATGGCGCCTAGCCGTAGGCCCGTTAATCAACCAGCACAACAGAATCAGGGATTTATGGATGCCATGTATGCTTCCTTTCTAAGCATGGCTACAAGAGCTCAAAACGAGCGGCCGGTTGAGGATAGGAAGCAAGGTTACTTCCGGAAATTTAGCCGTGCGCCTATCCCCTCGTTTAATAGTGAGGGAGGACCCCAGGAGGCAGAGTTCTGGTTAGACTCCATAGTCAAACATTTGAGTACTATAGGAGTTCCAAATGAATACTGGGTGGAATTTACGGTATATAAGATGGAGGGCTTAGCGAACACTTGGTGGAAACAGGTCAAGAGAAGAATGGATGTTACAAGACTGACCTGGGAGCAATTTGAGACACTGTCCAATGAGCAGTATTTCCCTCAGAGTTATAGGGAGGAAAAAGCATTAGAATTTATGTCTCTGCTGCAAGGTGATATGTCTGTAAGGGAATATGAGGCCAAGTTCAATGACCTATCCCGGTTTGCGCCATCACTAGTGGAGTTTGAACCCATGAGGTGTCTTAAGTTTGAGAAGGGTCTCAAGAATTCTGTGAGGAGGTCATTGGTGGCCTTAAGGATTCGGAACTTCTGGGATTTGGTAGCTGCTGCTACACGGGTGGAACAGGATAACTTGGCCTATCACTAAAGTAAAGAAGCAACGGGTCAAGTCTCTGTCTCTGGTAGACCTTCTGTCTCAGGTGGACCACAGCGGAGTGGTAGGAGAAACCGCAACCAGGGGCAAACGGTTGGGGAGATGGCAAGCGGTGGCAGTAGTTCGTCAGGGAGTGACAGAAATGCTCCGTACGGGCCCAGGTGTCACCATTGTGAGCAGGTGGGCCATATTATGAGGAATTGTCCTTATCGGCCGCCGGCTCAATAAGCCCAAAGTGACGCTTCCTACAGTCAATAAGGGCCACCACCATACATGCCACCATATCAGCCACAACAGATGCCATACCCCCATGTGCCGACTTATCAACCACCTCCGTTTACACAATTTCAGCCTCAAGCGCCGAGACCGGTACAACCACCTTTGCCGCAACAGTATAGGCCTCAGACCCAGCGGCCAAATGTTGGTGACAGAGGGAAAGGGAAAGTACAGGGACAAGCTTATGTCCTGGCAGGAGGTAGTTCTGGAGGTCAGACCAGCAACGCGGTGGTCGAGGGTATGATTCTAATCTCTCACTCTTTTGCTCACGTGTTGTTTGACACAGGTGCCACACACTCGTTTATATCAAGTTCTTTTGTTCGGGCTTTGAAACTGAAATCTGAGAATTTAGAAGTCCTGATGACTTTGAACTCTCCACTGGGATGTGTGGAGGTACTGAGTGTGTGTAGATCGTGTGAAATCACGATTGGAAGCGAGCGAATGATAGCTGACTTGATTATCCTTCCGATGAGCCTGTTTGATGTGGTCCTCGGAATGGATTGGTTATCGGAATACGGAGCAATTGTTGATTGTTACCGTAGGAAAGTGACTCTGATGACTAAGTCTGGAACATCGATTTCTTATCAGGCAGATCTGAATCCAGTCTTAGGAGAACGAATGTTGAAGTACAGTGTTGGGGGACGGAGGAATCTAGCCTGTTTTTCTTTCCTTCTTGCTTTGGAAGGTGAACCCGAGATAACTGGAGATAGTGCGGGAATCCCTGTAGTGGATGAATTTACGGATGTATTTCCTGATGAGCTACATGGTTTACCGCCAGATCAGGAAATTGAATTTTGTATTGATTTAGTTCCGAGAACGGCACCTATTTCCATTCCTCTATACCGGATGGCTCCGGCGGAGATGAAGGAATTAAGAACGCAGCTTGAAGAGCTGGCAGAAAAAGGGTATATCCGGAATAGTACTTCCCCTTGGGGTGCACCGGTGCTATTTGTGAAGAAGCACGACGGATCTTTTCGGTTGTGTATTGACTACTGTCAATTGAATAGGGTAACTGTGAAGAACAAATACCCACTGCCGAGGATTGATGAGTTATTTGATCAGTTGTGTGGATCACAGTTCTACTCTAAGATTGATTTGAGATTTGGGTACCATCAGCTGAAAATCAAGGAGGAAGACATTCTGAAGACTGCATTTAGAACTCGGTATGGGCACTTCGAGTTTCTAGTAATGCCGTTTGGGTTGACGAATGCCCCGGCTGCATTCATGGATCTACTGAATCGTGTTTTCTGGCCGTACTTGGATCGGTTCGTGGTCGTCTTCATTGATGACATACTAGTTTACTCGAAGACTTGGGAAGAACATGCGCAGCATTTGAGAATTGTCCTTCAGACTCTTTGAGAACACCAATTGTATGCTAAGAAGGAGAAGTGTGACTTCTGGCTGACAGAAGTGAAGTTCCTTGGGCATGTGATCTCAGGACAAGGAATATCTGTCGATCCTTCTAAGATCGAGACTGTGCTACAGTGGGAAAGGCCGAAGAATGTTGTGGACATTCGTAGTTTCCTCGGACTTGCAGGGTACTATCGGTGTTTCGTGAAAGACTTCTCGAGTATTGCTGCACCGCTGACTCGGTTAACCAAGAAAGAAGTCAGATTCCAGTGGGACGCTGAGTGTGAAATTGCTTTTCAGGAACTGAAGGTCAGACTGACTAGTGCACCAGTCTTGACTATTCCTGATAGTGAGGAACCATATGAGGTGTATTCTGACGCCTCAGAAAGTGGGCTGGGATGTGTCTTAATGCAAGGTGGACGCATGGTAGCGTACGCATCTCGCCAATTAAGACCACATGAACAGAATTACCCCACTCATGATTTGGAACTGGCAGCGGTAATATTTGCTCTGAAGATATGGAAATGTTATCTCTATGGAGCAAAGTTTCAGGTCTTTTCTGACCATAAAAGTCTGAAGTACTTGTTTACTCAGAAAGACTTGAATCTCAGGCAAAGGAGATGGGTGGAGTATATGGAAGATTACGACTTCACTCTACAATATCATCCGGGAAAAGCTAATGTGGTGGCTGATGCCCTTAGTAGGAAGACGACGGGGACTCTGACGTCATTAGCTTTGGAAGATTGGAAAAGGACTGAAGTGGTGAGTGAGTATGATCTTCAGTTCTATGAAGATCATAACCAGGCTATGGTGTACAATCTGATATCTACACCGGATATTGTGCAACGGGTTAAGCATAATCAATTGCAGGATCCACACCTCCAAGGAATCTGGATTCGAATCCAGAATGGAGAGCAATTCGAGGATTGGAGAATCCGAGAGGATGGAGCCTTGTATTTCCGCAACCGCCTTGCTGTTCCTAAGGCGGGTGAGGTAAAGAAAACGATTCCGCAAGAAGTACACAAATCGAGGTATGCTATTCATCCGGGAAGTACAAAGATGTACCAGGACCTGAAAAGACAGTACTGGTGGAGAGGCATGAAAAGAGACGTTCGTGAGTATGTCTCAGAATGTGTGACTTGCCTCTGGATTAAAGCTGAGCATCGGAAGCCGGCGGGAGAGTTACAACCTCTTCCTGTCCCTGGATGGAAATGGGAGCACATTACTATGGATTTTCTGATGGGGCTACGGAGAATCGAGCTGAAGCACAATGCCATCTGGGTGGTGGTGGATAGGTTGACGAAGTCTGCGCATTTCATAGCATTCCGTACAACGTATTCTCAGAAAATTCTGTCAGAATTGTACCTGGAGCACATCGTGAAGCTACACGGAGTGCCATTGTCTATCACGTCAGATCGTGACACGCGTTTTAATGCAAGGTATTGAAGGAGTTTCCAGGAAGCCATGGGAACAGACTTGAACTTCAGCACAACATTTCATCCTCAGACTGATGGGCAATCTGAAAGGGTAATTTAGATTCTAGAGGATATGCTTCGTGCTTGTATTCTGGAATTTGGCGGGAATTGGAAGAAATACCTGCATCTAGCTGAGTTTGCTTATAACAACAGCTATCAGGCCAGTATTGGAATGACACCGTTTGAAGCTCTATATGGTCGTCCTTGTAGGTCACCTGTGTGTTGGATGGAACCAGAGGATCGACTGAGCACTGGGCCGGAAGTCATTCAAGAAAATAATGAGAAGATAGCTGTAATTCGGGAACGACTGTTGACAGCTCAAAGTCGTCAGAAAAGTTATGCTGACAGAAGGCGTAGGCCTTTGGAATTCCAAGAGGGCGACTTTGTCTTGCTGAAGGTTTCCCCACGCAAGGGGGTTATTCGGTTTGGTGTGAAAGGGAAACTTGCACCAAGGTATGTGGGACCATTCCCGATCGTGCAACGAATCGGAGTGGTGGCTTACCGGTTGGCCTTACCGCCTGAATTATCTCACGTGCATGACGTGTTTCATGTCTCCATGCTTCGGAAATGTCAACCTGAGCCGGAAGCTATAGTACAGTGGTTTGATGTTCCGATACAGTATGACGCGTCGTATGAGGAGGCACCAGTTCAAATTCTTGATCAGAAAATAAAGAGTCTGCGTCATCGTGAGATTCCTCTAGTAAAAGTATTATGGCAGCACCATAGAGTTGAGGAAGCGACATGGAAGCTTGAAACAACGATGCAGGAGTAGTATCCGCATCTGTTCACACTTTGAGGTAAGCTTTAATTTTGGGCACGAAATTGCCTAAGGGGGGTGGAGCTGTAACACCCTGAAGAATTAATTGAGATTAATTAAGGTAATTGAGATTATTAGTGTGCTTAATCTGGATTATTAATTGAGTTTTAATTAATAAATGTTTCTGACGTGTGAGTTTAAATAGTTTCAAGGTATTTAAATTATTCTCAGTAATTTATTTTAAACCAGAAGTGTGTATGGGCGCATTTTTGGACTGTTCTTTTACAATATTGTACACCTGTCATTTTCTTTTCCTTTTCCTTTTCTTTTCTTTTCCTTTTTCCTTTTCCCTTTCCTTTCTCTTTCCTTTCCCGTGCGTCACTCTCCCTCACTCTCTCTTTCACTCTCCCGTGCTCTCTCTCACTCTCTCCCTCTCTCATTTTTATCCCAAATCAAACGAATCTTGAACCAAGGAAAGATTTAAAGAAGTTTTCAACGTCAAGAGAAGGATTCGAGGTAAGATTACTGAAAGAACCTCTCTTGAATCTCAAGTTTTTGAATTTCAAAACCTATTTTTGGTTCAAACCGGATTTTGATGGTTTTTGAGTAAAACTAGAGTAGAAATTGGAGATCTTGGGTTCTTTGGAGTTGTCTTAGGACCTAGAACCCAGATCTAGTGGTTTTCCTTTGAAATATCTCGATTTGGGACTAGATTTGCAGGTTTTGGACTGATTTCTGCGAGCTTCTCTCGCGCAGCTGATTCCACCGGTCGACCAGATCACATGGAAACCAGCCGACCTATGCAGTCGACCGAACTGAAGGCTTACCGGTTGACCGGTCCGGTCGACCGGTGTGCACACTACCGGTTGACTGGTAGTGTTGCACTGCTCTGTCACCGGTCAACTGGTTGACACGGGGTTTAACCCTGTTTGGCCTGAAATTGTTGTTTTGACCCCTGTTTTTTGGGAGAACCCAAATCAGCTTCATTTGGGGACTTGAGATAACTGGATTAACATCTTTAATCCTTGATTTGAGATTGAAAACCCTTGGAATGATAATTTGAAACATGAAAATGGATTAGGGCACACTAATAGGAAATTTTGGTTGGAAATTGAGATTTAGATTGCTTTAGGAATGAGAATTAATCCTAAAGTGTTGTCTTGCATTAGTGATCGCTGAGGATTCAGACTGAAGGGGCTTGAGGAAGCAGAAGCCGGAAAAGGCAACGCTAGTCCCAGGTTTGTTAGTGCGAGGTAGGATTTCTATCCCTTTTCCTCGTGAGCCTGTTTTCAAAAGGATTTCGGCCTTGAAAATGTTTTAAAGAAAGGGATTGGTTTGCAAAAGAAAAACGTTTTGAAAACCATGGCTTGTTTAGTCATGGAACCTCATTGCTTGTCCAGTCATGGGGCCCACGACTTGAGTAGTTCGTGGGGTCGTATTAACGATTTCAAAATGTTAATGAATGATTTCTTAAGCTAAGAGATCTTGTGAACTGGTAATAGAGTCTATTGCTGTAAGCCTAGATAGGATGCGGAGAGTGCATCCTCGGGGGTAGAACCCGAAACTCGGTCCGGGTAGGCGAGGCACTTGGTTAGGTAAGTAATTTGTACTAATTACTTGCTGAAGCCTATAAAACGGTTATTTACAGTTATATTTCCTTTGAGAAAAAGGATGTGAGGTTCCGGCTGTTCTGTCGGGACTGAATGACTTATTTTATTTACTTATTCATTTATATATTTCTCTCGCACATTTATTATTCATTTATTTATAACGTTTATTTCAAATTATATCCTACTGGGCATTTCGCTCACGTTTTATGTTTTAAATGTATTAAACCCCTCCTAGGAGACTCTAGGAGCGGTACACAGTAGCCGAATATTGCTACGGAGCAGCTGAGTTGTGCTGCTGTTAGAATCAAGTGAGGATTGTGGTCATCCTCTGATACAAATGTAAGGAATTTGAGAAATTCTGTAAACTTATATAATATTTAGATTTACTAGACTGTGGTTGATGTCTGTTGTAATGATTATTTACATGAGCATGTATGTACGATACTGTATGTCCTGTGGGGTGGAGCCCTGTGTGTCAGAAGCTCCGGAATTCTGTAATGTAATTTATTCATATTTTAATACAGTTAAGTGTGGGGCCCGGTTGGGAACCTACTTTATTAATCCCAAATCGAGCTCCACATCACCCACCCCGTTTGGGGGGCGTGACAAATATTTACATTGAGCTATGTATTTAATGTTACCTTTATTGTCGACCTACTCTAATGTGTTGAAGTGCTCCCAAACTATTGAGGTGCGCTTACATTTTTTCTTGAAACTTGCAACACTTGCACTAGCACTTTCACTTGCCTCTCCTCTACGCCCACCATCATTACGACCACGACCTCTAGTACGTCCACCACGGCTCGGATTTGCAGTTTCCTCAGCGGCTCTTTCTGGTGTTTGCGATTCCTGCATTTAAAAAACATTAGTAGGAAATTATCCTTCTTCAATGTTGAATTGGGCATCAACGGGAATATCACCACCATAACCGGAAGAATTCATTATGAAAAATAAGAGAGATCGAGAGCACTTTGAGAGAGATTAAGAAAGATCGACAGATTAAGAGAGATTAAGCGAGATTTAAGCGAGATTAAGAGAGATTTGAGAGAGATTGAGAGAAATTAAGAGATGATGAGAGTTTATGGGTGAGGAAAATGGTTGGGGGAGGGGGGTATTTATAGAGAGTTTTTTGACTTGAAATTTTTTTGTCCCCTAAAAAATTCGGCTCCAATAGTAACAAATTTTTGGGCAGGTTGGGTTGAATTCGGGCAACTCAGACAACGGCAAAAAATAGAGCCGTTGGAGTCGGGCAAAAAACACAACGTTCAAAATTCAATCGAGCGGATGGAAAAGAAGGACGCGTGCTAACAGTTAATTATTCAGGGAAAAAATTTATTATTTTTAAAATTTTAAAAACATTTTGCTACAAGGCCAATAGTTAAGGGAAGACAAGTATATGTCCTGAAATAAAAAACCAATCTTTAGCATGATGATGAACTTGGAAACAAGATTTCAGTTATGTCCAAATCAACTCAAAGTTTCCCAAGCCAGTCTTTCGATCCAAATGTGGATCCAGATAAAATTCCATCCAACGGGCTAATCCTCACACACCTACCATAATTTGGTATACCGACATACAGGATCTCATTTCCACCTCGTAAGTCGTAACGCTACAGCAGTAGCAGCACCGCGTGGTGGCGGGGTTAATAATGACAAAATTCGATTAACGAAGCCCTATTTCGTAATTTCAAACAATAAAAATGCGAAAGACTCTTGAGAACTCAATACCAATCGTCCATCTCCATAGCATCAACGTCTCCAATTAACCCATGCGATTAAATCCTAAAAGTTTCCGAAAATTATTTTTTAAAATAAATTTAAGTTCTCATTGATTAAATTAAAATCAAAATTCCTTCTTTCTCTGCAAGTCCGGTTTTCTTCTTCTCCGAGTCGACGCTCTTTCTCTGATCCATTCGAAACCCTAACTTATCAGCCGCGATCCCGCTCTAATCGGCTCTGAAATCTTCCAAATTTGCGATTAGAGGTAGAAAATTCGGGTTCGGAAATATTCATCGGTGATCGCCGGCGAGGTGGTTGATATTTGTCGGTGAGTTCTTCGTCGGAATCAGAGGGGTTTGGGGGATTTTTCGCGGTGTTTTTTTCGAGGCATTGGACGGTGATTGTCGACGTTTGTGAGATTCTGAAACTGCTCGGGAGTTTTCTTGGAAGAGGAGCATGAGAATCGAAGGATGAACGATGCCGGTACTGCGTAGCGGAGTGCGCAGGGGCAGGGCAGCAGCAAAGAAGCAGCAGCAGCAAGAGCCGAGTCCGATCGAGGCGGGGGAGGCGATCGCGACGAGGACAAGGCGGCGGCGGGCGGCGGCGGCGGCAGCGGCGGTGCCGAAGAACAATACCAACAGGCAAAAAGCGCAACGGGAGCCGCCGCAGCAGAAATTGGTGGCGGATGAGAAGGTAGCTGTTGCACCGGCTGCGGTTAAGGAGAAGGAGAAGGAGAAGGAGAAGGAGGAGCAATACAAGGGATTGAAAAAGAAGGCATTTGAGGTTCAGGCTGGTGCGGCGGAGAAGGAAGAAGTCGGGGAGAAGCCCATGGATGACGACAGTGGGGCCCGGAGTAATGACAAGGGTCACGCCGCTGAGGACGAGGGAAGCACCGCTCCGCTTCCTGAGAAGGTTTGATTTTTCTTCCTTTTTTTGGTCTTTTTGTGATATGTAATGGATTCTTGTTGAATGTTTGTAGTGATTTGATTTTCTACGGTGAGTCACTTCCCCCTTTTGCGAGATTGTGAGAAAGTTGGCGTCTTTTACCTCGATCGAACAAGAATTTGTTTCTTTCCCTTTGCATTTTGAAAGGGAATTGGGTGCATTTTGAAACTTTTTGTGAAGATTTGAGTGATTCTCAGTTCATTAAGAATTGTTAGTTGTTGCAGTTACAAAAATATTTCCTCGCATGTCGCATCTTTTTTGAAGTAGCCAAGAGTTGCGCTTGACTGGATTTCGCTATATCTACTTATCGATTTTCTTAATAGAATTATAATACATGGTAGCGCCTGTTAGCTGCGTTGTAAAATCTAAGAGATCACATGCTTATAGCTGAAACCCCTGCCAAATTATCAGGCGTCAGAGTCAATTAAAGTCTTTGGATCGCTTAAATAGAGTCTCGATTCATGGAAAGCAACTATTTAGTATTTACTCCACATGAGGATATTATATAGTCTAGGTTGCAGAATTCTTAATTGCACGTGAATAGCTGCAGAACTTGGTTACTCTAGCTGCTTATTCTTTTGGGTTCTCTTGAGGACATAAATTTTGCTTTTATTGTTGTTCACTGGTGTTTACTGTCACTTCAGGTTCAGGTTGGAGGTTCCCCATGGTACAAATTAGAAAAGAAACTAGGCAAGGGGGGATTTGGACAAGTGTATGTTGGTCGGCGTCTTTCTTCTGTAAATACAATTGAGAGAAGTACTGGTCCCGGAGCTTTGGAGGTATGGCCTCCATTCTGAATTATTCTGCTTGTTGAGTTTTTCTTTTCTGTCTCTTTACCTTTGTTGTTTTTCTGCATTTCCACTGTGATATTTGTGTCTTAGGTGGCTTTAAAATTTGAGCATAGAAGTAGTAAAGGGTGCAACTATGGACCACCTTATGAGTGGCAAGTTTACAAGTGAGTATGGTTCGAGAGTTTCTTTTCTTTTTTTTTTTTTTTTCCCTTTCATCCTAATCATGCATGAAAGTCAATTACATTCCTTTTGTTCGTGTACAGCACGCTTGGTGGCAGTCATGGCGTTCCGCGAGTGCACTATAAAGGTCGGCAAGGTGACTACTATATCATGGTATGTGGTTCTTTCTTTTGCTTATTGCTTTTGTTTCTTTGGAGTCTAGACCTTGTTTGTTTCAAATTCTTTGACAAAAATGATGCCTTCAGGTTATGGATATGCTGGGCCCAAGCTTGTGGGATGTGTGGAACAATAACTCTCACACGTAAGTCATTTAAAAATGGATCTTCTACGCAAAGATATATGCTTGTTTATCTTGTGAATCCTTTTCTTCCCCTTTCTGTTGCTAAATTAAAGTTTTTCTTTCTGTTTTTACATGTAGAATGTCCATTGAAATGGTTGCTTGCATTGCCATTGAAGCAATATCAATACTGGAAAAGATGCATTCTCGAGGGTAAGATGCTTTGCTGTAGAACATTCATATTTATGGTTATCGTGAATTCTTTTTCTTGACCCCCTGCTTCTCATTCCCGCTTACTATTGTTTGGATTCAAATTTTTGGACTGTTCTATTTTAGAACTTTGGACAGCCTCCTTTACATGAGCTTTTTCCTCCTCAAATTTATATACTTCTAACTAGGAATGAAAAAATCAAGTGCTGGACTATCGCATTATTATTGGCCCTCACTGAAATGCAATTTGATTTCTCGAGAGCCATCTTGCAGGTATGTACACGGGGATGTCAAGCCAGAGAATTTTCTTCTTGGACCTCCAGGGACTTCTGATGAGAAAAAATTGTTCTTAGTTGATCTTGGTTTAGGTAATATTTTTGCATGATTTTTCTAGAAAGCATTCATTTGTCTTCATTTTGAGTTACAGTGTTAGAGGTAGTGATCCTACTTTTTACTTATTTGGTGTAATCAGCAACCAGATGGAGGGATACTTCAACTGGTAAGCACGTTGAATACGACCAAAGGCCAGATGTATTCAGGTATAAACGCTAACTGCTGCTTGGTTGGTACCCTTCAATTCTTATGCTACTTCCTTTTTCCGTGTTTATCTCAGAAATCATAACTATTCTTGTTTGACAGAGGAACAGTACGTTATGCTAGTGTACATGCTCATCTAGGGAGAACTTGTAGCAGGAGAGATGATTTAGAATCTCTTGCATACACACTTGTATTCCTTCTCCGTGGTAGACTGCCTTGGCAAGGATACCAGGTTGGGGATTTTTTTTTTTATTTTTTTTGTTTATAATTACATACATATGTATGCGCGCGCGCGCGCACACACACACACACATATAACTTAAAGATGTTTGTATATGCTTTTTTAACGTGATGACATTCTCAGGGAGAAAATAAAGGGTTCCTTGTCTGCAAGAAGAAGATGGCGACATCACCAGAGGCCTTGTGTTGCTTCTGCCCACAGCCTTTCAGACAGTTTGTTGAATATGTGGTGAACTTGAAGTTTGATGAAGAACCCAATTATGCAAAATATATATCGCTCTTTGATGGCGTTGTAGGCCCAAATCCTGATATTCGCCCAATTAACACTGAAGGTGCACAGAAGGTACTTCATTCTGTATGTTTGTGTAATTCAAGTTACTATTGGCCTGGCAAATGTGTATTTTATTCCGCCAAATATCTAGTATCTAATAAGTACTTTATCTCTTTCTGAAGCTTATTAACCTAGTTGGCCAGAAGAGATCACGGCTCATAATTGATGAGGAAGAAGAAGACGAGCAGCCGAAGAAAAAGGTTAGAATGGGAATGCCAGCAACACAGTGGATTAGTGTCTATAATGCTCGTCGGCCGATGAAGCAGAGGTATTTGTTGCTATGTCGCCCATTTATGCTCTACTTAGTTTTGGCTAGGAGCATAGTTTTGGCCTGAGAGCATCCACTTTACCGTTACTATATTTTGATTGTCTTTTTTGTTGTGCGTTATAGTTTCTTTGTCATTCTCCGTTCCTTTTTAGTCTTGAATTATGTTCCCTGAAGAACAGAAGAATAAATTGTTTAAATCACATTGATAAGGTGAGGATGTAACAGTTTTTTCTTGCTATTGTAGGTACCATTATAATGTAGCAGATGCAAGGCTTTCTCAGCATATTGAGAAAGGGAACGATGATGGATTGTTTATCAGTAGTGTTGCCTCTTCTCAAAATCTATGGGCTCTAATTATGGATGCGGGCACTGGGTTCTCTGCTCAAGTTTATGAACTTGCACCGTGTTTTCTTCACAAGGTACGGGCTGATATTGGCCAATCTACCGCATGTTTCTGCTGAGAGCATTTTGACTGACAGTTGAGAATTTTGCTCCCATGTGATGGGGGCATTCATGTGGGTGTACAAGTGTCATTTGCGTGTATAGTTTTTGACATAGTAATTGTTCTATTCTCTGCAGGAATGGATTATGGAGCAGTGGGAAAAGAACTATTACATCACTGCAATAGCTGGAGCTACTAACGGAAGCTCGCTTGTAGTGATGTCCAAAGGTTAGTCTAAATGGTTCAAAAGCTTGGTTTTCCTGCAGCAGGATGATTTTTATTGTTCTTTTTTAAACGTATGGTTGATTGAAATTCAGGTACACAGTACGTGCAGCAGTCCTACAAGGTCAGCGACACATTTCCGTTCAAGTGGATTAACAAAAAATGGAGGGAGGGCTTCTATGTTACAGCAATGGCTACCTCTGGAAGTAGATGGGGAGTTGTTATGTCACGTGGTGCAGGCTTCACTGACCAGGTAATCATCTATTTGATTTTTGAGTGCCTTTTGAGGCGTAATAACTTTGAAATGTGACAAGTTTGGAGAAGCAATCTGACACATTGACAACATTGTCGTAATTAGGTGGTTGAGTTAGATTTCCTTTACCCCAGCGAAGGTATTCATTGCCGCTGGGACACTGGATATCGTATCACTGCAACTGCAGCGACATGGGATCAAGCTGCTTTTGTTCTCAGCATGCCGAAAAGGAAGCCTCAGGATGAGACGCAGGAGACGCTTCGCACCTCTGCTTTTCCTAGCACCCATGTCAAGGTGAATTCTCTATTCTTGAATAGTCGTGTTTATTTGCAAGGTATGATTTCCTATAACTCTTGGAGTAAAACCTTTTTGTGCTTCTTGCAGGAGAAGTGGGCAAAGAACCTTTACATTGCCTCTGTTTGTTATGGGCGGACAGTTTCTTAAGCCTGCCAATATATTTATTTAGCTGTGGAAGTCGGATCTTACGTAGCCCTAGGTCTTCAGTAGGGGATCTTAACTTCCTCCAAAGAGCAATTTTGTTGACTCAAAGCTTTTAATTAATTGTAATTAAGTTATAGGAACTTTTAGGAAAAAACTGTCGGTTACTTGTGTCAAATTGTGTGCAAAGTCTTTGATGTCAATGATTAATCAAAGTTCATCTTCTCGAGGAACGGCGTGAATAAGATATTCCTGCCTCTACAATGACTTGCAAGTCTCAAGTAATAATATTTCAGCCAAAGGAAAAAAAAAGTCATCGACCAGGAGATAGCAGTTCTGTAGCACAATTTAAGAAAACCTAGTTGTTATTCCTACCATTGATAAGACAACACGTGTCAACAAAGAAATAAAGTGTCTTGCTCGACAATATTATGAATTTGACCCTTTAATTTGACTAACGATTGTATCAATGTTCAGAAAGTTGTGATCTGGGAAATCAAAAATATTTACTTCGTCGTGTTCGCTCTTTTAGATCTTTTCTACGTGTAAAGAATGACGACTTTTAAGTCTAGATGGATTTGAATTTTTAATTTTTAATTTTTGTAGTTAAAATATTTTTAAAAATATCACATTAAATTTTTTTGTTATAATTAAAAATTTTAAGAAAATATAACATTCCAATTCAAATTGAAAATTTGAATCTACAAAATAAATGAGACTTTAATTTTAAGTCAACATTTATATTTCTATTAGATTGTTTGATTAGAGGAAGAGATGAAAGGGTAAAAAAGAGTGGAGGTAGAGAGATAGAGAGAGATCAAATCATTTGTTTGGTTGGAGGGAGAGTTCATCCTCTTGGGCCCAAAAATTGGATTCTTCCATTTATGGGAGGATTTAAGAATTCATCAACTTTTACATCTAAAAGACTATTTTACCCTCAAAACAAAGTATTAGCAAATAATTTAAATAAACAATATAGTAATTTTATAAATAATTATCATCTATTCTTTTAACTTTCTTCATCTTTTACCAAATAACACAAAAGATTATTATAATACTCTCTCTCCTTCCTACTCTTCATCCAACCAAATAGACCCTTGACATTTGACAAAAAAAAAAAAAAAAGTTTCATATTCAAAGGTCATAACTTATATTAAATCATTTTTTTCCAAAGAAATCTCAATTTATTGGGCCTGTTTATTTCCGTTTTTGTTTCTATTTTTCACGATTTTCGAGAATGAAAAATGAAAATGGTTCCACAAAACGCGTTTGATGTAAAATTTTTTAAAAATTAAAAACAAAAACGTTTTTGTCCTTTTCTGAAAATCTGAAAACGGTTATAGACCGTTTTCATTTTCTCCGTTTTCCTTCTCTCTTCTCTCTGAATTTTTTTTCTGCCTTGGTGCAAACGCCAGATCTCAGCCTCGCCGCGCCTTTTTCTCTACTAAATCCCGTCGTCACAAAGCCCCTCTTTCTCGCCAAATCTCTGCCTAGCCACGCCTCTCCTCTACAAAATGTGGCCATCGCAACGCCCCTCTCCTTCGCCAGATCTCAACCTCGCCGCGCCACATTCTCCACTAGATCTCGTCTTCAACACGAGCTTGCTCTTTGGAATTTTGTTCTCTTGGATTTTCTGGTTTTAAGTTGGGTCATGGTTGCTTCTTTTGTTTTGAATTTTGTGATTTTCTAGTTGGATTTAGATTTGATTTTCTATATTTGAGTTTACTTTTTTTTTTTTAAATTTTCTGGGTTTTGGTTTAGTTGTGTCGTGGGAAGGAAGGAGAACAGTTAATCACATGGAAAAAAAGAAAACCATTGTCATCAATCAAAAGCTAAATTTACTATAGTCTGCAAATTAATTTATTCCCCCATTTAGTGTGCAGAAGATAACCATTGAAGATTTCAATTTGTCTTCATCCCCTTTAATCTACTAAAAATCTCCATTGTCTTCAATCAAAAACAATTTTTTTTTTCTTTTTAAGAAAAGCAAATTAATTGAAGAATGCAAGAGAGCCTTTGACGAAAAACAAATTAATTTATTTGCAAAATATTATCTTGATCTGAGTTTATGATTTTTATTGATCTAATAATATATTAATATTATTATTTATTTAATATATTTTAATTTTAAATATTATTATATGTTTTTAAAAATTAAAACACCAAACACAATTTCAGTTTTTTTTTAAACTGAAATCAATCTCAGAATAAAACTACCAAACGCATTTTCAGAAATGATTCCAAAATAAAAATGAAAACGTTTTCATTTTCATTTTCATACAAAAAAACAAAAACGTTTTGAAACGAATTCCAAACGCACCCATTCTTTCCCAAGCTTTTCTTGAAAGCTTCATGGGAAAGTACACATCCCTTGAGATTTAGCTCAAAGGGAAAGTTACCACAAACACCCACAAAGCAGTTTTTCGTTGTAAAAGCCGAGTCTCTCAGAGCACCTCTTCTAGAAGCTATACCATCCCAAACGCATAGGAGGCAGGCACTAATAAAGAAAAGAAAGCTTCCATTTATCATCCAGAAATAATTCCTTCTGGGTATCTGTTTTGGCAGGTGAATCACATCCTACGGGCCTGCAACATATCCTTCCTAAGTGAACCCTTTCCTGGTATATTTCCACATCAAACATGATTGGCCACCATTAGATACTTACTGACTTTAAAATTTTCAAAAGATGCACAAAATTCAGACAAACCACACGCGCAACAGTAGGGAGAGAAGCAATTCAATGTGAATCTACCTCAGTGTCATCATCGTCGTAGCGAATGACGAAAATGCACCTACAGCCATTAAGGTCATGTAGCCTCCTCTGGATATTAACAACATAGGCATCACAGTAGACTGCGTGATGTTCTCTTTCCTGCAAATAAGCCATTGGGTTAACAAATGATTCCCGAACTTTATCCCTAATTCCAGTTTGGTCCATGACTTTGAACGTCTGGAATTTCACCCCAATCTATCGATTTGTTTTCCATAGGTTGAGTATAAAAGATAACAGAATATGCATGTGATGCTGAAAAAAAACAACACTTAACTAATAAAACATCATCCATATTTCATCCTCTTTGTAAGTTGTGACATCCAACTGATAAATTAGAGTTATGTTTGGGATGTTTGAAAAGCCAAAAACTAAAGTAGGATTGAAGGTAAAACTCGAGAATATGTGAGATTAACCCCAAGCCAATCAGAGTGACAAAATAATAGAAAGGGAAAATTTCATTTTACTACCCTCTGTTATATCGAAATTTGAGTTTGGTACCCTATGTTTTTAAAAGGATTTTAAAAATTGTTATACTTGTAGAGCATAATCCTTTTTTAAAAATTCATCTCTTCAAAATCCGTTTTTCAAGTCCTTTTTTTCTTTAAAATTCTAGTCAACAGATGAATTTTTACAATAAGGATAATTTTATCTTTTTGTGTCCCAAAAAATGGCTTTGAGGTGCCAAAAAAAGATTTTCTAAAAGGTCGAGGATAATTCTAGTCAACAGAGGGTACTAAACTCAAATTTCGATATAACAAAGGGTACCAAAATAAAATTTTCCCTAATAGCAATATCTTGAAAGAGTTTTAAGTATTTTATTTACGTTCACTTCATGGTAAGTACAGTGGATTGCCAGCTTTTGATTTGGTCCGAATCCCTTAACTGGTCAGCATGACTCGTGGGGAACAAATTAAATTCCAAAAGTAAGGGATTACCTGGAAGCAGAGCACAAGATCCCCAACATTCACCTTGTCACATTCTGAAGGTTCCAAGGGAATAGATCGTTCTCGAACTCCAGTTCTCACGTTCACCCACTCATCTTCCTCCTTACCAAAGCCAGAAAACCGCACACGAACTTCCTGTGATACATAGTCACATTTAGCCCTTTTACAAAGGTGTTAACACTTAACATTACTTGGTGCATTTCTCTTCAAACTCAATCATGCCAACGATGAAATTCATGTGTTGATGCATCAACCAAAAACATGAGAAAAATCACATAATTAAGAAAAACTTTAAGCTTCAAAGCTTTCTTAATTACTAAATGAAAAAAAAAAAAATATATATGGACATTAAAAAAGCAACGAGCTATGCAATGTCAGTTTCAAGATATGAGCTTCAAGCTATTTAAATTCTAGTCTGATTCAGCTTAGAATTGCAAACTCTATATCTGCTCAAAAAAGGGGATCTAAACCATGTGATCATTGCACATGAAAAAAAAAAAAAAAAAAAGAAAAAAAAAAGCACAAGACAGACATGAAAAAACAAAAAGGTCTTTACAGTAAGCAATAAGAGATGGATGTATCTTACAAGTTCACCTGTGTTGAGAAATCTGTAAGTGAGAAATGCAGCAACATCGTACCTGCAATGACAAAGAAATGTAATGTGGTTACTAGTTCAACTCCGACAGAGATTGCGATTACCAGAAGAAGAGAACTTAATTCTTCAATATAATAAACAAGTATGAATTGTGTAAGATGAAAATTTCAAAACAAACTTTTGTATTAAAGGCACTCTAACCATGCGTTGTCTTTTGACGATTTAGCTTCATATGCCAACTCATGAAGATCCATCATTCCTTCATCTGCATTGAAGTTGGTTTAGAAGATTAATAAGTGAAAAAAAACTTTTCTTTTCTGTTTTAGCAATACAATTGAATGAAAGTTTAGTCAAATATCAGCAATGTACTAAAGCGTTGATGTATTTATTTATTAATAGTTTCAAACCGTGGCTAGAAGAAGGACGACCTTCAGGTGTCTGGGAACTTTTGGGTACAATACTTGAAGTCTTTGAATCTGAAAGATGAACAACTAATTCGAAGGAAGCACTTTCTGGGTTCAATTCTTTATGTTTATCAACAGCTGAGGAAGTGCTTTCTGGGTGAAGCTTTTTATGTTTATCCTCGAACCAATTTTGCACCTAGAAGAACACAAAACACCTGATGAATAAATGAAAACACAAATTTTGTGTAAAGGGTTATTACTATTTATCAAAAAAAAGAAAAGAAAAGGAAAAAAAAAAAACCTGTTCCCATGTTATAGTAGATTTTCCAGCACGAGTTGATGAGCCACTGTGAAGATAGCGCAAATCACAAATAAATAAGTAAAAAAAAAAAAAAAAAAAAAAAAAGATGTCGCATAAACCATGTCTGATGAATTATGCATTGAAATATTTGACCCCGAATCCATAAAAGAAAATGGTGAGAAATATAACTGAAAATGGTTATTCACCTAAAGCTCATTGCAAGGTCTTGGCAAAACTCTTGACCAAGAGATTGTTCTTCAACCTCTTTGTAGATATTTTCCATTTCCAGGATCTGCAAGAAATTACCCAAGCTAATGCCCGATTAACTCAACATATATTTACACACACACACACACACACATTTAATTAACAAAATTATCCAGAAAAAAAAAAAGAAGAAGAGAGAAGCAATAAATAGTTTTGCTCAAAAGCTTCTTCAAGAGAGTAAGGAAAAAAAATTAAGCTTCAAACTTTACTAAGATTAATCCGAAATTGAATTGGCGAGCAAAACCCAGATACATATGAATTACCCAAAGGAAATAAATACTAATACCTCCGCAAGAGTAAACTCAGAGCTGGAGTTTCTTGAGATTTTTGAGCCAAAGTCGTCCATTTCCAGTACAAAAAATAGATTGTGATGTGAATGAAGAGAGATTTTTTGTCAGTTGTTTTCTTTTCGCTCTTCAGACTTCTGTCCTCAGTGACCGACGAACCTTTTTCCTTTCTTTTCTTTTTCTTTTTTTTTTCCTTCTTTTTTATTGTGTCGTTTCCTCATTTTTTGGCTAGTTTGTCGTTTCCTCTTTCTTTTTTTTTTTTGTTTGATGTTTTCTCATTAGATGCCATATTGCCTTTTCCATATTTTCTCGTCGTTTATTCTTTCCGTGCATGTGATTTTTTTGTCGTCGTTTTCACTTGTCCTCTAATATAATTGAGTGTTAATTCTACTTTTGGCTTTAATTTTTTGTCCTATTTTAGTCCCTGTATTTTAAAATATCACAAGTCTTTTGTCCTTTTCTCACCTTTTCTTTTGTTTTGCGTTTTCACATTTATGTCGTTTCCTCACTTCTTGGCGTCGTCTAGTCTATTGTGATTTGATTTTGAATGTTTCTTATTTGTTGTCGTTTTTAATTTCATGACATTTTAATCAGTTTTTCGTTTAATACCCTCAAATATTATTGTGGCCGAGTTTTTTTTTTATTGATATTGTGGTCAAGTTATCCCTTCTTATCGTTTCTTCTACCAGTTGATGTTCTTTTTCATTTTATTTACGGATTTCATTCTAATTACTCGTTTGTTTTTTTATGTGTCGTTTTTTTTTTCTCAGTTATGCTTTTTAGTTTGGTTTTTATTTTTTCTTCTTCTTCTCATTTGCTTTTATTTCCTTATTTTATCGTTGTTTTACCATGTGTTATTGTTTATGTCACTTTCATATGTTGTGTTATTTTTACATCCCAATGGAAGTGTTTCAGTTTTTGAGTCGTTTTCACTTTTGTTTTTTTTATGTGTCGTGTCCTATTTTTTGTCCTTATAATTTCGGTGTTCAGTAGGGCTGGCAATATGGGTCACGACACGACGACACGACTCGAAAACGACACGAATTTTGCGGGTTAGGGTTGAGAAAAAAGAGGTTCGGGTCAGAATTGGGTCGACCTGAAATTGACACGAAAAATACGGGTCAATTTCGGGTTGGACCTGCCTAACCCGAACACGACACGAAACTCGTAAAAAACTAAAAAATACATATATTTTTCATTTCATATTTTAAATTTTATTATGAACTTGTGATATCATGATAGTTATACTCAAAATCTTATACTATTATTTGCTTAATTTCAATGGATGTTATTGTAATTTAGTGTGTTATGAATTTTAAGTTATTTCTAATATTTAAAAAACTAAATAAAAGTATACAATTTTCGTGTCAATTTCGGGTTCACGGGTCAATTTCGTGTCACGGGTCATTTTCGGGTCGTGTCGTGTCAGCTCGTAAAGTGGTCGTGTCGTGTTCGTGTCGCGGTTTTTAAAAAATTTCGTGTCACGGGTCGTGTTCGGGTTGACTGAAAATTTTAAAAAAATGATCAAAACACGACACGAACACGACACGTGACACGAATTGCCACCCCTAGACTGTTCAGTTTTTATCATTGTCTCACTTCTTCTCGTTTCACATTTCTGTCGTTTTGTCCATTTTTGTCGTTTATTTATTTCTGAGTCGTTATTTTCTTGCCCATTTAGTTTTTCTGATTTGTTGATATTTTATCAGTTCTTATCGTTTTCTTTGTTGATGTGTTTTCGTTTCTTCCCGTTTATTCTATCTGGTGTTCTGTTCTTTTTTTCTTTTTTTTTGGTGCTTTATATCTCATTTTTATCCTTTATCACTAGTTGTCGTTTTTTGTATTTATGTTGTTTTCTACTTCTGTCGTTTAATTCCTTTCTGTGTGGTTATGTGGTGTCGTCTTTATGTTTGTGATGTCATTTTATTGGCTGTTGTCGTCTTTCTTATCTCAAATAGATTGCCGCTTATTTTCTCCTGAGTCCTGTCTCTCTCGTTGTACCTTTTTTTGTTTTTTGTCCTCTCTTTCACATTCGCAATCACTAATGTAAACGACGTGTTTATCTCTTTCTTCGTTGAAGGTAGAGTCGTTTGTGTTTTTCCATAAGACTGCAAGTTTCATCCCAATTTTGAGGTTTCATTAATGAGTAATGATAGGGATTTCGATTTTTTCTAACAAGTGAATTGTTTTCTTAATTAGGAGATGCAACTTTTAAATTATTAATATAAAATTATATTTCAGCAAAAAAAATAATATATTTGTTAATATATCTACTAATTAAAAAAAAATGACAAATTACCTATCATGGTACTTGAAATTGTGAGGAATAATCTCTAAACTAAACTCAAGAATTAATAACAAGAAGAAGAAAGGAACATAAACGACATTTTTGTATTGTCTGGTGAAGAGGAATACTGCAAGTCGTTTTATTCAGAGAGCAGTGCATAAAAAATGTAGCGTTTTATTAATGCTGAGTTGGAGCAAGTAGTTGAGCAACGTGTGATTGAAGAGTCGGTGTTGTGCTATCGTCTTCTAAACGGATGTATATATATCTAATATACATGTTGTTCAGTAGTTCAGTTTTTGGGGATCTCAGTTTTTCCCTATTTTTAGAGAGAGAAACTGTACAAATTCAGTGAGAGAAAATCAGTTAAGAGAGTTTTACTCTGAGTTTGCCTTGTAAAACACTGTGAGATTTTCTTGGGTAGTTTCTTGGGTATTTGGGATTTCTCTATTCAATTTTGTTATCGTGAGATCTAATAATGTATTCTTCTTCTTGATAGTGGAATAGCTCTTGTGGAGGAGCTCAACAGGACGTACGTCAAACATTTTGGCCGAACCTAGGTAAATGTTGGTGTTGTGTGTTCGTGATTACTGTTTTGTTCTTTGTGCATTTTCTGGGCCTTGGTGTTAGATTCGTTCTAATAGTGGTATCAGAGCCGACGGTTAATCGCTTTTCGCGAAAGGCTCAGAAGGTTTAGAAGATCCACCGTTTCTTGAGGAATCTTGTAGAAATCTTAAAGAATGGGTACTGCAAAGTTTGAGCTCGAGAAGTTTGATAGCACTGGTGATTTTGGGCTATGGCGGAAGAAGCTTCGAGCGATCTTGGTCCAACAGAAAGTTACAACAGCTCTCGGCGACATGAAAGATGTAACGAGGATTGAAGCGGAGAAAGAGGAGATGCAGGAGATAGCCTACTCTATCATCATTATGTACCTTGATGGCAATGTATCAAGGCAGGTCAATGACGAAGATACTGCAGCTAAGGTGTTGCTTAAACTAGAACAACTCTATATGACTAAATCTTTGACAAATAAAATTTATTTGAAAGAGAGTTTGTTCAGTTTTAAAATAGATACTACTAAGAGTCTTGAAAAGAATCTCAATGCATTCAACAAGATTGTGATCGATCTTGCGAATATTGGAGAAAAGATCGAAGAAGAGAATCAAGCAGTGATTCTTCTGATTTCATTGCCTGAAAACTTTAGAGAAGTCAAAAACGTCATCAAGTATGGTCGTGATAGCCTCACCCTAGAAGATGTCTTATCCGCTCTGAGGTCTAGGGAATTGGAGATCCAAAAAGAAATGGTTCAGAGGAAGGACACCAATGGAGATGAGGGCCTGTTCTCAAGAGGCAGAACCCCTAACAAGGAATTTGGGAACAAACCTAAGAAAAAATCTTTTTCCAAATCAAAGTCAAGGAATGGTTCGAGGAAGTGTTTCTTTTGCAAAAACCCAGGGCACATAAATCGTTTTTGTAAAGAATGGAAGAAGAAACTGACAGAGGAAAAATCAAGTGAAAGAGATGCAGCGGTGGCCAGTCAGGACCATAGTTATGAAAGTCCTGAAGTCTTGGTTGTTGGAACAAAGAAATGAGAGACAGAATGGATCTTAGATTCTGGTTTTACGTACTACATGTGCCCACATCAAGCCTGGTCCTCAAATTATGAAAGAAATGATGGTGGGAAGGTCTTAATGGGAAATAATCACTCGTGCACGGTAATTGGATCTGGAAACATTACTGTGAGGTCAAGTGATGGCAGTTATCATGTTTTAAAAAATGGGAGACACATCCCCGAGTTGAGAAGGAATTTAATTTCCTTAGGAGCATTGGATGATGAATGATATTCATATAAGGCTCAAGGTGGAGTCCTGAAGATTCTTAAGGGGGCTTTGATGGTAATAAAAGGAGAGAAACAACATGGTCTCTATGTCTTTAAGGGTCAGATAGTAACTGGTATTGCTGCATCAATCATCATAGAAAAATCCAAGGCTGAAAATTTGGCACAAAAGGTTGGCCCATGTTAGTGAGAGATGGCTGCACGAGTTAAGTAAATAGGGACTACTTGGAGAGGACAAGATAAACCATCTAGACTTCTGTGAGCAGTGTGTGCTAGGTAAACAACACATGCTCAAGTTCACATCATCAACATACAGAGTAAAAGGACCACTGGATTATGTGCATGTTGATCTATACGGACCTGAGAGAGTTCCAACTCATTGAGGATCCATGTATTTTCTTTCTGTTCTTGATGATTTCTCTAGGAAATTCTGGGTTTATTTACTGAAAACAAGTGAAGAATGTTTCAATAAATTTAAGCAATGGAAATCATTAGCTGAAAACCAAACCAATAGGAACCTAAAGGCCCTTAGAACAAACAATGGCATGGAATTTTACCATGATCTGTTCACAAAAACTGTCATGATTTAGGAATTTTAAGGCATAAAACTGTTAAAAAAACACCCCAACAGAATGGAATAGCTGAAAGAATGAATAGGACATTGATGGAAAGGGTCAGATGCATGTTATTTGGTTCAAGTTTATCTAAGTCTTTTTGGGGTGAAGCTGTTACTACTGTCTGTTATTTAATTAACAGATGTCTTTGCAAACCAATAGGACTCAAAACTCCAGAAGAACTTTGGACTGGAAAGCCACTAAACCTAGGAAACCTAAGAGGATTTGGATGTGTTACTTATGCATATCAAAAGGAAGGCAAATTAGACCCTAGGTCCCTGAAATGTATTTTCTTAGGTTATCCAGAGGGTGTCAAATGGTATAGGCTGTGTGTTAGAGATGGTCCTAGGCACAAAATTATAATCAGCATGGATGTTATTTTCAATGAGTATAATATGCTTTATTTAAATAAGGAAAAAGATATTTATGTAGTTTCTAATGATGTAGGTCTAGGTACCAACTCAACAAAGGAGCTGCAAATTGAGGTAGAGGCATCAAGGGCCACCAGATTAACAGATGATCAACAAGCTATCGGGCTAGATACAATACAACAACAAAAACTTATACATGAAGATCTTGAAAACCCTACAGCTGACCCAGATGAAGAAGTTCTAGAGCCTACAGAAACAGAAAGACTGACAGATTATATGCTCAGTCGGGATAGACAGAGAAGACAAGTGAAACCACCTCAAAGATTTGGTCAGAGTGAACTCATAGCATTTGCCTTGAGATCTTTAGAAGATCTAGAAATAGAAGAACCCAAAACCTATGAAGAGGCAATATCATGTCCACAGGCAGATAAGTGGATAGCAACAATGGAAGAGGAAATGTCATCCTTAAAAAGGAACAATACATGGGTGCTGGTTGACAAGTCAAAGAAGCAGAAACTAGTCTCATGCAAATGGATCTTTAAGATCAAGGAATGAGCTATAGGAAAGGAACCAAAAAGGTTCAAGGCAAGATTAGTTGCCAAAGGATTCACACAAGTTGAGGGGATTGATTATACTGAAGTTTTTTCTCGAGTGGTCAAGTATAAAACCATAAGAACCATTCTATCTCTAGTTGCTCAAAAAACTGGAAATTAGAGCAGATGGATGTAAAAATTGCCTTTTTGCACGGAGACCTAAATGAGACCATTTATATGCTCTAACCCCCTAGTTTTGAGGTGAATGGAAAGAAAGATAGGGTGTGCCTTCTAAGCTTGTATGGATGAAGCAATCTCCAAGGCAATGGTATAGAAGATTTGATGGCCATGTGACAAAGGCTGGTTTTGAAAGGAGTAGTTATGATTCATGTCTATACCACAAGAATGCAAGTTCCAGAAATTCAGTATTTCTTATACTCTATGCGGATGATATGTTGATTACAGGAGAAGACTTGAATGACATAAAGGAAGTCAAGAAGATGTTGAGTGTAGAGTTTGATATGAAAGACCTGGGGCAGGCTAAGAAGATTTTAGGTATTGACATCAAAAGAGATAAACAGGGAAGGATATTATGCTTATCTCAGGAAGAGTACCTGAGAAAGGTTGTAAGGAAATTTTCCATGGATCAGGCAAAGAAGGTCACTGTCCCACTTGCAGGCCACTTTAAGTTATCTGCAGAATAATCACCATCAATTGAGAAAGAGAAGTTGGAAATGGAAAAAGTGCCATACTCAACTGCTGTAGGCTCACTTATGTATGCAATGATTTGCACTAAGCCTGATCTTGCCTATGCAGTGAGCATACTTAGTAAGTATATGGCTAATCCAGGTCAAGAAGATTGGTCTGCCATGAAGTGGGTGCTGAGATATGTGAACAATACTTTGAGTTATGGACTGATCTACAAGCAAAGGTCATCTCACCTTAACTTAGAAGGGTATGTAGACTCAGACTACGCTGGTGACAGAGATAAAATAAGATCTACTTCAGCCTTCATGATGCTGCTAGGAGGAAATTACATAAATTGGAAGGCTCAGTTACAGCCAGTGGTTGCCCTCTCAAGCATTGAGGCAGAATACATGGTTGTAATTGAAGGGTTTAAAGAGGCTATGTGGCTACAGGGACTTCTAAGAGAACTGAAGATGTTGAAAGAAAATGACATCATATATTCAGATAGTCAATCTGCAATTCACTTGAGTAAGAATCCTGTCTACCATGAAAAGTCTAAACATATTAATGTTAGACACCATTTCATTCGGGAGAAAATTGAAGAAGGAATAGTAGGACTGGAGAAAGTGGATACAGATGAAAACCCCTCTGATATGGCGACAAAGGTGATACCAGCTAGCAAACTCCAGAAATGTCTGAAGTTGCTTAGCATTGCAAAAACGTAGATCAGAAAGGGAGAGTAATGATTCCACAAGGAAGCTTAAGTTTACTTCAGAGATTAAGGTGGAGTTTGTGGGGAATAATCTCTGAACTAAACTCATGAATTAATAACAAGAAGAAGAAGGGAACATAAACAACATTTTTGTATTGTCTGGTGAGGAGGAATACTACAAGTCATTTTATTCAGAGAACAGTGCATAAAAAATACAGCGTTTTATTAATGTTGAGTTGGAGCAAGTAGCTGATCAACGCATGGCTGAAGAGTCGGTGCCGTGCTATCGTCTTCTAAACGGAAGTATATATATCTAATATACATGTTGTTCAGTAGTTCAGTTTTTGTGGATCTCAATTTTTTCCCTATTTTCAGAGAGAGAAACTGTACAAATTCGGTGAGAGAAAATCAGTTAAGAGAGTTTTACTCTGAGTTTGCCTTGTAAAACACTGTGAGATTTTCTTGGATAGTTTCTTGAGTATTTGAGATTTCTCTGTTCAAGTTTGTAATCATGAGATCTGAGAATGTATTCTTCTTCTTGATAGTGGAATAGCTCTTGTGGAGGAGCTCAACGGGACGTAAGTCAAACATTTTGACCGAACTTGGGTAAATTGGTGGTGTTGTGTGTTCTTGATTACTGTTTTGTTCTTTGTGCATGGGCCTTGGTGTTAGATTCGTTCTAACAGTACGCTATTGTGGATTAATGATGTTATTGTCACTTATTGCTTACATTTGATATGAGATTGATACTTTCAAAATATGCTTCCCAAAAATAACTGAAATAAACATAAACATATTCACGTTGACTTAAGTCAAATCCCTTGACAAAATATCAGGTTTACACCACTTTACAGAAAATACACAGTCGAAATTAAAGATTCTAAGGGCCTCAAACATTCACATATATCACAAAGTATCTGATTTTATATCTCAGACAAGCCGATTTGACATGACATTCTCTATAATCGTTTTCATGTAGAAAATCAAACAAAACTGTACTAGTTATCAAAGATCACTTAAAACATAAATTTCATTTTTTTTAAGTGTCAATGTGTTATTTTATCAAAATTTTTGGTAAATGTAAACTAAAAATTGATAAACAAGAGTTAAAGCTATAGCCAATATGACTTGTTGATTGAGAGAAATGGTCTTGTCCATTGTGGTTGGTTTGGGTTTTGAAGTAATGCTTGGTGGAGAGTAAAGGAAAGCCATCGAAATGCAGTCTTCTTTATCGTCTTTAAATATTGGCCTCCCTATCACATGTTTGTAGAGTCCACCACTCCATGTCTGCAAAGAGAAAAGCAAAAGAATGGTAACGGGGGTCTCACACACGCAAATATATGTATACATATATATGTATGCATGTGTGTGTGTATATATTTTATATATATATATATATTACGTTAAATATAGAAGGATTAGTACAAATTGCCATCATCTTATGCAAACACTTTACAGAAACAAATTAGTCATATGATTAGACCACCACTATACATGGGTGGTTTCCATCATGAAAAGGATAGGAGAATCATGGTCTTGAATTTGTGGTGGATACACATTTAAGGACTAGTAAATTTTTGCTCATAATGGCATTCAATTGAGAGTGTGGTGTTTTAACTGAGAGTGACATATATTGTGACCAGCCAATTAGAGATGTTTGTTGCTATAATCCTCACAATAGGGTTAATTCTAGGAATAATCTTTAAACTTTATCCTCAATTTCATTTTGATACTTAATTTTTAAGGCATTCTGAACTCAACTTGATTTAGCCATTCTCATCAGTTGAGTGTTAAAAATATGATAAAACAAAAAATAATGCTCCGTTGATTAAATACAAAATAAACACGTAATACTGATGAAAACAACGCTATGCTAACAGAAAATCATTCTTATTTCATCATCTTTTCAAAACTAATTGATGAAAATGTTGAAACTAAAAGAAACCGGTAGAGATTGTAAGTTATAAGTGACCTTAACGATTGTAAATGTTTGTAGCCATGCGCCAAATTTAATTGCTTATAATGATTTGGAATTGGCTTATATATAGTAAGAGGTTTACCTGTATTTGATCTCCAATTGTGATTACCAAAGCATCTTTGTGCGGGGTGAAAGAAACCCATCCTTTTTTGGAGTAAACATGAAACTCTGATGAGCCACAGCAGAAATGCAGGCAAAGGGCGTGAGAGTGGTCGTTTCTCCTTATAAGAATTCTAATAACCTCATGTCTCAGAGACTCAGAACCACCATCACATTCACTGCCGACATTACTGCTATTTTTGTAAAGACAACAGAGCGTTCCAGTTTCATGCCCTTGCCAATGTATTTTATCATTTCCGTTTATAATGATGGATTGTCTTGTAGGAGTCTTCAGAAAAACTGAGAGAACTTTCTCGCCAATCTTCTCAATGGTGCTCGAAAGGACTTCCATTTGTTTGCTGTTTAATACAAAATGGAGAAAGAAAAAGAAAAAAGAAAAGGGCTTGGACTCTTTTCGCTTCCCAACATTTAATTTTCTATAAAAAAGGAAAATAGCAGCCAAAAGTGTAATGATACGTTGGTGAAAGTAACGTTCATGTTTGGAAAAATGGGAGTTATAATTACTTCAAATTTCAAATAGAATTTTAAGCTTAACTTGATGGTAGTCAGGTAACAGTGCCGTGGTCATTTTACACCTAACTATACTATATAGTGTAAAATTTAAATTTTCTATCTCAAATTAAAAAAAAAAAAAGAACTTAGCTACATAATTAATCTCCAGTATAGGAATACACAATTTAAATTACCACTCTTTATTAATAGGGTGTTTATTTGCACAACTCAAATCATGACTTGAGTTGTGTATGTGAGAGAAAAATACTATAACAAAAGAATTAAATTTAAATTTATATTAAAGAAAACACTGTAATAATATAACTTGAGTCATGAACAAGACCTAAAAAATCAAATTTTGTATAGAGAAAACCAATGTCCCTAAAATAAATGGAAATTCCTCTAAGTGTATTTTGTATATTAACCAAATTATATCTTGATGTCACCATAATTAAATTTCGATTATTTAGATGCATTAAGAGGATATTAATATTTTTTTACCTAATAATACTTTCTTAATCCAACCAATCCGATTTACTTTCTCAATCCAACCAATCTAATTTCTTAATCCAACCACGCTAATTTACTAGGCCTATAAATCCTCAGCTAGCACAAAATTAATTAAAATAAAAAACAAAAAACAACAACAACAACAACAACAAAGAAACAAAAGAGTGACCGTTATTTACCAGAAATTGGAATATCCAAGTGGCCAAATTCCCTCCATTACAGACTTCAAAACTTCGTCCCTACTCCACACGAACTCTTCACTCTCACTCTCTCCCTCCTCGCCGTGACCTTCCTCAAACCCGTATGCCATCTCCGGCGACCTCGTCACCGCCGCCTTTTTCTCCGGAGACGCCGCAAATATCCCCGCGGCAGCGGCGGCCTGCACCGACCTAACGATTTCCGCCGAAATTCCGTGGTTCGCCACCTGAAAGCATCCGATATCGGCCACGGACTCCGCAATCTTCGAAACGGCGTCATGTTCTTCCAAAACAAGTGATTGGAAGTCGATGACTGGAGGGCCGTCAACGGATCTCTGTTTGGGAAAGATCCTGTCCGGCAAGATCAGGTCCGGGACGCGGAGCGAGTGCTCGAGAAACTCCGTCAGAACGTCGTCGTTCGTGAAGGAGGATTTCCGACCGGAGTGGATCGGAGACGGCGGGGGCGCTCGGAAATTGATCGCTGCATCGGCCGGTAAAGGTTCCGGTGAATTTATTGGCGGAGCCATTGGATATATTGGGGGAGAGAAAGTTTAAGCTCAATTAAATCTCTCTACATACATATGATATTTAAATTCTGAGTAAATATTTGTCCTTTTTTTTCTCTCTTGATTCATTTGTGTGTTAAAAATGGTTTTAAGGGAAAGGGGGGAAAAAAAGCGTTAAAGAGCAGCAATGATGGCATGTTTTGGACGACGCCGACAATACGAGAATCATCACAATGAAAGCCTTATGCTTTTCTTTTTCTTTTTTTTTTTTTTTTTTTTTGTTTTCTGTTTCTTTTCCTCTCTTCTCTAACTTAACTTTGTAATTATCTGTACGACTGTATTTTCGGGTTATGGGCTGGCAAGCTTTTGCCATGGCAAGTTTCGTTTTTTTTTTTTTTTTTTTCTTTTTTGTTTTCTGTTTCTTTTCCTCTCTTCTCTAACTTAACTTTGTAATTATCTGTACGACTGTATTTTCGGGTTATGGGCTGGCAAGCTTTTGCCATGGCAAGTTTTTTTTTTTTTTTTTTTTTTTTTTTTTTCCTTTGCTTGCACGAATCCATGACGTTTTTGTGGCCCCAACCCGAATCTAGGACCCACTTAAAGTGCGAATAAATCCAACAGTGAAAATAACACATGCCTCTGTGTTTTGTATTCCGATAGATAATTCTTTGATAAAATGGTTAGTTCCTTAACATTAGGACTGTCCAACACCATAAATATGTAATATAAGTTTTTCTCGTGTACTAAAATTCTAAAGAAAATACTTTGTTCATTTTTTTCTTTTTTGAAGCATTTTTATAGGTGTGGGCTCTAAGCCTATAGCACGCCAAATTGCCAGTACAAGATGATATGATGGTACCAAGGGGTGGCCAGCTCAGAGTCATGAGTTAAAGATTCCCCCTACCCCTTAATTCATTTCATTGTTCACCAATTAGTTAATTAAAGGCATAAATAGCCATGTGAAATCTCTTTGAGTACTCGAATAAATTTGCACTAATTGAAAAGGAAGTACCTTCCACCACTTTCAATTTTCCCTTCTCTGATTGACAACGTAACTTCAACATTAAAACAAATAATTTTAGACTATGATCGTACTAATTGACTACCATCTGTTTCACTAATTTGAATGATAAGTTAAGTTTTTACTATATTATTTTTTCTTATAAAAATTTAAATTCACATTTTTCTATCATAATATTTTCTTTCACGTGAATTTATTTTTTAACTCAATTTCTCAACTCCAATGAGTAAAACCTCACTCATCCCTTGTCTTTTGCTACTATAGGGATGTAGTGTTACTCAACTCTCAACCACAGAAACACTTGGGATTTGGGTGTTCAATTTGGACTTTGAATTATGGTCTTCATTTAAAGTGGGCTTCTTTGTCTTTTTTTTTTGCCCCCCTTCACTTAGTTCACTAGTGTTGCTTAATGAACCTTTTAAGTGTAACTACTTGAACCAGCTGGGGCTAGACTTGGGCCAGTTTGTCCTCAAGCTAGCCATAAACTTTTTGTTTTGGACGTGAAAAAAGAAACCCAAATCCAATATTGCCCACCACTTGTCGTAATAAGGCTAGCTAAGATCAATTTCTAGTCGTCCAAATGTGCTGAGTTCGTAAAACATACATGTTTGAAAGCTTCAGAACTTACTGACTTTTAGGCACATTTGGTACGCAATAATCAGTATAAATTATATTTATAAGAAAGTGATGGAGGATAATATGATTTCTAAAAATAATACATTACTGTGTTTGGTTCCATACAAAAATCTTTCTCTAATTCTCAAGAATATTATATTATTGTGTTTGGTTGTACATGAGAATATTGTGTATTAAAAAAAATATATTTTTTTAAATGAATTACAATTAGCACTAATGTTTCAAAAAGTATAAAATATTTTTTAAATATTTAGCCCATGACATTAGCACTAATGTTTTAAAAAGTATAAAATACAACACAATAAGTAGTCCATAAAATTATTAAATAATAGGGGTCTCAATATGTTAGCTAAAATCCTCTATACTCAAAAGTTCTTACAAAAGTTCTAAACATGAGAACATATACTCGAATAAGGTTCCAAACCTGTAATTAAAAATTGCAAATCTAGGACTACATATAAAAGTTCCAAAGATGCCATCAAAAAGATCTAAATATTGGACCATATACTCAAGTTTGTAAATATAGTACCAAAAGCTTCAACCTAACTCATTCCAAAAGAGATAGAAGAAAAATCTAACTTAAATTAATCATCCAACGTGAAGAAATAGTTAGTGTAGTCATGGTTTTGGACAATAAGTTTTCTTCGTACTCGTTGTGCATTTGTTAGTCCTTCTACCTTCTTCACTTCATCAAATACATGCATCCTCCTTGCAGCACTATCAGCCTCGTATTGAAAGCAATTAGCAAGCCTACCAATATTCTCACCAGCCATAGCGTACATATTAGACAACTTCTGTACTGTCTCAGTTAAAGTATCAACCAATACATCTCCACTTTGAGATCTCTTTCTCTTTTTCCTTCCTGATGCTAATGGTGTTGAAGTTGTTTGTGTGCTAGGACCACCAATACTTGCAGTATCCATGTGCTCATAATACATAAGCAAGGGATCATAATCAAGATTATTTTCTATTTCTTTATCAATGTCATCAACCATATCAGTCAATCCCATTGCACCTTGTCCATTAGCACGATCCTTTCCAAACACAAGTCCTAACTCATCATAATAAGGAAACGGTTTATTTTTTAAGCCTTTTACAGTTTGGTGACTCTGTAATAGATATAGAATGTAAATTAAACAATAAAAGAGCCTAATATACTAAAACTTGAAATTTATAACTGGTTAAAAAAATACTAACCTTAACCCACTCATCAAACACATCTTTCTCAACCACAACGCATTTATTCTTATCATTCCAACCAAAGCCACTACCGGCAGGGCCCAATATTTTAGAAATGGCATAATATTGTTTCTTCAATATATTTACACGAGAATCAATGTGCGGTTGTGCTTTAAGCCCACATTGTGGAATCTTTTCATTCATCATTTTCTCCAACTGTTGTAAGTAACCAGGCTTGAACATACCATATCCGCTTTCTATTTTCCATTATTAGCCATATCCAACATACCGTTGCTCTTGTTCTCCTCTTTTGAGAAACTGTTCTCTCCTCTCTCGACTCCCATCGTTCACAGAGATTCGCTCAGTTTTGAAAATTTTTTCCCCTCTGGCGGTGAATCATATTCGCAGATCTGTGTTTTCTTATGAGGGAGGAACCTTTTCTAGCTTATTCCCTCAACCCAAAACGGCAAAAATAACTCCGAATCACAGTCTTTGACGACCGCCGTTGGCCGTTCTTTTGGGTAGATGTACCCGCAACCGGCGACGTAATCCCCTGCACCACAGTAATCAGTTGAGTTTTTTCTGCAGTCGGTGTCGGTGGCGGAGAAATCTTGGTAGGGCATCGTCATCTAAATTGGGGTTTTTGCTGGAGGAGCATTCACATTCATCCACCGGATCTAACTCGGTAAATTTGCATATCCTTTCTCTTTGTTTTTCCATTTGCATCCACCATTCTTCCGTTGAAACGATTTGTAGCAAGAACTAGTTGCATAATACATTAATCGACTAGATCCCTTAAGAATTAGTTTTCAGCCATGTTCGTTGTTATTTTCGGTGTTAATGTTGCTACATCTAACCTACAACACGGTCTTCCGTAACCATAAAAGTGAACATCTTTGTAACATTGATTTACATGGTTTAGATTTTTACATATCTATATACACATATTATGGACATTTTCGGGAAAAAAAAATTGAAATGTAAGGCAGAAGATAAAGCAATGTTAAACTAAAAGTGATGTTCTTCGATAAAGAAAAGGAAATAAAAACTAAAAGCATACACATACTATGGACATTTACTGAGCTTGAAATTAGACTTCTCTTTTTGTGAACTCTTGTGTTTGGATAAAAAGAAAAAACGAATCTAGTTAGTTTCCCATGACAATGATAGTTTGATGTTGTTCCCTAAGGTATATCGATAAAGCAATGAATCTTCTCATCCATATCTGTTCCTTCACTTTTAATATGAGCCGCGTGTAATAAAAGGGCAATAGCATCTGTTACAAGTTTACAATTTGGTGGATTTCTTTGTCAGTTATACAACTATGGATATACTTTAGTTGACCGACTATGGAGATATACATGCATATCTGTTACACATATTATATACGGCTTGCTGAATATCCCAATAATGCTCATACCATGTCACCGGTGCTAATATTACTCCCTCTATACATATATGTTGTGCAGATGAACTCTTTGTTCTTATTGGATTTAGTACTTTGGCAGTGATGATTTTTTTGGCATATTTGTTTCGTTGTAGCGATATCCTCTTGGTGTATGGTATTTATCAGTTGCTATTGCATGTAATGAGGTTTGTTTGGATTGAATGCCATATGTTGTCGTTTGTTATTGCATTATGACCTATGCTTTTAGATCCCTGGCCTATTACTATGTGGTTTGGTAGCATAAGTGCCATCCCATGAGGATAATGCTCTGAAACTGTGATGATTCGAGTATAACCAAATCTGAGCAAATCAAACGATTATGTACTTTAATCCTCTTTCTCCTTTGTTGTCAAATGAGTTGACATGTTTTGCTTTAAACATCCATTCTTCTTTGACGTGGCATATGTCTCTTTGTTCTCATGCTTGGTGGTCTTGGATTGTATGTATTAGATGTCGCAACGGAGTGAGGATGACGTCACCTTCTATTGGTCTGAGAAAAAAAATTACGCTTTTGAAGCAACTTGCAGACTACAATAAAAACAATAGGGGCCGTCAACCTGAATCGGCGGATTGGGAACAATGGGCAAAAAATTTATCCCCACTTTTTTCATCACCTATTCCTCCAGGGCACGTTAAACAGGCAAAGGAACGACTGAAGAAAAAATTCAACGCGGAGCTCGCCCTCTGCACAAACACTGGACTATGATGGGATCCAATCAAGAATACCCCAACTTGCAGTGACGAGTATTGGAATGACATTTAACATGATTCAAATTCCCAAAGTGGGAAAGCATCAAAAGGGTCAGGGGCAGGGGGCTTACACCTTAGGGGCAGGGAGAATTGGGCCTTAGGCGCTGGGGAGCCTTAGGGGTAGGGGCTGGGGAGCCTTAGGGGCTGGGGGCTGGGGAGCTAGAGGGCTTCGGCCTTAGACGCTGGGGAACTTTAGGGGCAGGCGGGCCTTAGGGGGGCTGGGGAGCTGGGCGGCTTCGGCCTTAGGCGCTGGGGAGCC